CCATCCATCCATCCATCCATCCATCCATCCATCCATCCATCCATCCATCCATCCATCCATCCATCCAATCACAACTAAGCTGAATTTGTTGAATCTTGCATTAAAGCTGTACTGTCATTCAGCTATGATGTAATGCCAGTACTGACAGTGCATAACTTTTGGGTCAGCCTCTCGGGTCATGGCTTATTTAATGTGGATGCAGTTTGCACTGAAAGGTGTCACGAGTTAAAGATAAGTTTGTGACAGGATCTAAAATGTGCAGCATCCAGAGGAGGAGATGTTGCTGTAGGAAACTCAATGATTTATACTGGAAGCCTGTCAGATCCAAACATTCCCAGTGACTGGCCTGCTGGTTTTGCTTCCACCCGTTTATTAACTCAACATTTGCAACAGGATAGACATGAACTGACACCATGGAAGCACCGATAACAAACGTGTTTTTTTTTTGTTTTTTGTTTTTTACCTGGTCATGACATGAGCCCTGGTCACATAAATTTAAGATAAAGGTAACCTATGATCATATGTTTATTCCCACTGACAGGAATTCTGTAGGCTCTTTAAAAACATAGTTGTTTTGACATTGTAGCCAGGAATCATCGTGGATACGAAACGATCAGTTATGCAATAAAAACATGAGTAAAGAACAATCATTATTAAATAGAAGTTAAGCATCAGTGAGCAGCCGCACGTTATAAATCAGATATTATAAATCAACATTTCTTGCATTATAATTATATTTTACTGACTGGCTGTGTGACATGTGATTTGCGCTATAAAGCTTCATAGTGACTACAAGAAAACGGGTCACATGCAACAGAACGCTGACTCGAAACAAACACTGAAACTTTACACAAATCCCTCCATTGTAGTAGGAAAGTCCGATTTTTTTTACTGTGCAATATATAAATGTGGCAGTGTGACATTCCTTTTTCCTCAAATTATTCTCAAATGTAAGTGGGGATGCTGAGAAAATACTAAATGTCTTCAAAGGCATCCAGTGAGGAACCGATGGGAGTCAGAAGATCTGCATTTAGAGGTCATGTACAGATGCTCTACAAGCTCAATGCTGAATAAGGATGCCACTACAGGTTTCTAGATCCTAGTGACATATAAAAAAATGCTGTAAGAACAGGATCATCAACACTCTCTGACAAACAATAACAACATATATCAAATACATATCCACACATCTAGACATGCTTCAGTTTTCTCCCAGATCAATATGGCTTCAAAGACTCGTATTCTCTGAATATATGGCATGTTTGGAACACCAAAGGAGAGAGAAAAAAAAATGTTGCTGTTTTTTTCCAGGATCTGAGGAGCAAAAGCATCAGGTGTGGGGAAAAAAAAAAAGATGCAAGACACATCCAGCATTTTTGCTGTCAAGTGCCAAGGACAAAAGTGAAAGAGAGCACAATGGAGATGCTGCACTTCACATGTCAGCGGCAGAGTGAGCGCTGTGAACAAAGAAGAAGCTAGAAGGAAAAGGAGAGAAAAGATCTCATCCAATCCAGACTTTGAGTTTATATGTGAAAAAAAAATACATTATGTGCTTGCAAAGTGACTAGTAGAATAATGCTCCAGTGTTTGGGAGAATTACTACCTTTATACGATTAGCATATCTCCTTATTGCATTTCAATAAAATTCTGTTTACTTCTGGAAAAATCGACATGTAAATATTAGGATGAACAAACACGGCACTTACAGTTCCACTCAGAGCTGCTGTGACCCGTCACTCCATAGCAATCATGTGATTCGAGCTGCTTGTCTTTGTGATTTACTGGGGAGATTTTCTTCCCTAAATCTTCATCACATCCTGGAAGTTACCAAAAGTATGAATGAAGAGACGAGTCGGGATAACGGCAGTCCCGGAATGTTTTTCAGAATTCTCGGGGCTTCGGATCAACAGAGGACCTTGGGGAAAAAAAAAAAAAAAGAAGAAGAAGAAGAAGAAATGTGTAAATGAAACAGAAACAGTTTGGAAAACTATCTGGCACATTTTTGTAGCTCAGTTTTTTTAAGCTATCTAATATATATATATATATATATATATATATATATATATATATATATATATATATAAATAAAGCTGAATGCATGCAACTAAATGCAAAAAAAAAATAAAAAAAATGTTGGAATCGCTGCCAGACTGAACCAAGCATCAGTCGGCTGGCTGAGTGGGTGTGGATGTGAGGCCATCTGGATTCTATGTTCTTCACCTCCACTGAGAAAACTAAAACCAACCTCTTTATTACATTAATAACCATAAAGCCCAAAACAATTTCAATGCCATTGTTTAGATAATCTGTTTACAAATTACACAGTTTTGATTTTATCCACAAACTTGTAACACGAAAAAAACAAAACCACCTATAAACAAAGTCAAATAATCCCTCTATCATGGCACAACACATGAAAAAGCTCAATTTGTTTTGTTTTTTTTTTGTTTGTTTGTTTTCTAGTCTATGCATCGTTTTGCATACCTATGGGTTTATTCGGATGGTTACAGGTTAGTTTGTAAGCTGGTTTGAATTTCTTTGACATATCTGACCAACTAGGTTAAAAGCTCATCCTGCCCTTTAATCTCAGTTCTGTTTGTTCACTAACCTTCTCTACTTCCATCTGAGGCCTACATGAAGCAGTTTCATTAAAAAAAATTAAATAAATCAAACTCAAAACGGGGGACTATTCATAAAAACATTAAAAACAAACATACACTGTCTTTCATTTCCCAATTATGCATTATTTTATGTTGATCTGGTGAAGCTTGCTGGGGTTTGTAGCTGGAACAGGACAGGAACATCTCTAATGGTGTGAATATTTTTCCAAGGCACCGCTGTAAAACAAAAGCATTTAATGACTCATTTTCTCCCATTTAGTGAAAAGAAGAGTCAAGATTTTGATTTGATAAAGATGGTGAGAAAGCAGGCTTAGCCTCTTTTCCCATTCACTCTGCACCAGCATGACGCACAAAGGGATATTGTAGCTGCTGGAACAAAGCTGAGCCAAATAAATAAATAAATAAATAAAAAAGTAGAGGTAAATTAGTCAGCAGACTCGGCTGGATGACTTCCTTGACCTGAGCTGTGAGAAAGAAAAAGTAACTGAACAAGGTGTGAAAAGCACCTTATTTCCCCAATCGGAGATATTTTTTTTTTTTTTTTTTCCCCCAAATGCTGTAAAAAGCAGCTGCTGGCAGTGAAATATGTGCAGGAAACCTTCCACTAAAAGCATCCAGTTGAACTCGATACTGCTCCAGAGATCCTTTATGAATAAGGCAGTAAAAATCTGTTCTGGGGGTTTAATATTGTGCCTATTAACACTTGTGAAACCTTTAAGCGTGTTTGCTCGCTTTCATTTGTCAGAAACAAAATCTGGGTTTTGTTTTTATTCGTTTGGGCAAGTGACTTGGCGCAGGGCGAGGAGACCATCCCAGAGGTTAACTGGGCCTTTGCAAAGTAAAGACGTTTCTCCAAGGACTTGATTTTAAACACTAGTAATAATGTGCAGAATGTCATGTACTGATCCCACTTATTTCGATTTTATGTGCTTTTCTGTTTTTTACTCTTTTTGTCAAAAACTAGGCGAATAGGCCTTTAAGTTTTATTGCCGGTCACCATTATGATTGATAACACAAAAAGAAAAACATATGTTACCGTATACATTTTCAGTCTTAATGGCTTCCTTGCTTTAGACTCTGATCAAATATAGCAAGTTAAAGAGCAATTCGTTTAAATGAAATACAGTTTTAAAAAGCTTATGATATCAGAGGTGTGGAGGGGAGAACTCAGATTTTTTTATATATATGTTTATAGAATGAACCTAAAACTTAAACACTTGAGAAACTCCTATATAGCAAGAATAAAGTTTGGAAAACAATAATCCTTTGCGTAACCTATATATGATATTTAAAAAAATCTTTTTGACATGACCTTTCATTGGAAGGACATTTTTTTTATTATTTTTTTAATTTTACTTAACTTTTATTTAAACGTCAAATAACAGAATAGTATACAGCAGAAGACATTATACTGGTTTTGGCCGCTACAAAAATCCAGACATCTATGTATCTAATTGATGATAACCTCAATGAAAACAATTCAACAAATCAATATTTTTATTCACACCTATTTTTGCAATTCAAGTTGAATTGCAAAAATAGACATAAAAAAAGACATGTAAACCACACAAGGAAAATGAAAAAAAAATATTGCTAAGACATAAAACCATAAACATATGCAAACTTTAAAATGACTAAAATGGGACCAATTCATACACAGACACTTCAACCTGTGTCTTCTCAGACTAAGTGAGTAACGAAAACTACTCACCGTTGGATGATCTATGAGCGCTAAAATTGTGCTGCTACCACAGTCATAAAAGTAAACATTTACTTTCTTAAAAAAGCTTTAAATGTACAAACACCCACAGCCACCAAAGTCTGACTGGGCTTCCCCGTCGGGGGATCCTCCATGAAGGATTCTGGTTGTTGTACGCAACATGCAATTCTGAATACTACAAGATGGCCACAAGGGGCAGTATACACCAAAAGATTTAAACAAAGCCACTTATAACTGAACAAATAGAAGCTAAAATTTTCATCGTCATTGATTATTAGCCTGCATATCTTACATCGCTGTCTCTGTATATCGTCATCATCTTTCATTTGATCGGTATTAAAACAACTGAGGTATTTAACCTTTTTTATAAACGTCATGAACATTGTTGGTCTGTTTAAACACAGGGACATGTAACTGTTTATCTTGTATGGAAATACCACTTTTAATAACATTGCACTTTATATTCATTGTGTGCTCAGTTTTTGGGTTTAATTTTCCCATTCAATTATACTAGAATAGTTCAGAAGTCCTTTTCTCTGTTTATTTATAAATATATCTAGTTTTAGGTTCCCTCCTGCTCTGATTGGTCACATAAAAGTCAAAAAAGGTTACATGGAATGATGCAACACACTCATACCAAGCTAGCAACTGGTCAGGCAGTATGCAAACATTTTATGCTGACCTGTAGAAAATGCAGAGTACATGTGCTCAGGTTAGCATAAACCTCAGCTGCATATGTTGCAGAAAATGTACAAAACAAATGTTTTCAATCTCTAAAATCTGTTTCTTTAAATGCCAAGTCAAACACTGATTTACTGAATACTAAAATGAACCTGGTATTTTATTGAACAAACTATTCTCACAACAGGCCATCTACCACTCCCAGAACTAACACTGACATCTGAATGTAAGGTTTTCAACTTCTTCGAATGCACATGACAAAATATAAAACATTGAAGACTCGTACGGTTAAAAGCATACTGTGAAAAAGTCATGCAGCCCAGCTGATCTTTGAAGCAGAACAAAAAGATAAATCCTGTAACTAAATCTGTCAATCAAATATGAATCATACTTTTAAAAGGGCAGAAGATGCTGGAGCTGTTTTCTGGTTCTGAACACAATTTGGCCTCTGGGTGGAACTCCAGGCAATTTTTGGCCCCTGGCTCTTATTTAAAAGGTCAAGAGTGTTACTCAGGGGGTTTGGAAAAGTTTTACTTAATAAAATATTTCAATAAGGATGATAGCATTGATTAAAACTGGTCATAAAATACAGTATACTGAAGCATAAAAAAATCCTTCAGATAAGTTTTTTTTTTAAATTTATAACACTCTCATGATTGTCATAAAACGTCTGACCTAACCAGTGGTAGGTTTAAAAGAAACGATAAATAATTCTTCATACGGTATTTTACTTGGCTTTAGTCATTCAGTTCTTTAGTTCTACAAGTCAAAACGGCAGGTGTGTTCATAATGTCCTATTATTATTTATTGTAGGAACAGCTACTTCCTGTCTGCTCCGCGTTGACTAAAAATGATTTTAAAAAAAACAAAAAACATGGAGGTCATCAAAGCTGTATTTGAGTGGTGTCGTCATCCAAAACCCCCAAAAGAGAGAGCAGTGAGTCTATGAGGTGTTGTTTACGGTAGCTACGATGTCATTCTTTTCTGCCAGCTTAAAACACAAATATTAACATAATTTATTTAAAGGAGACCTACTATACTTCCTTGAATGGGTTAAAACAGGTCTGCGGGATATACAAATCAAGTTCACTGCATTTTTTTGCAAAAATAAAAAAAGAATCTGATATTTCACCTAACTGCTTAAGACTTATATGGAAAAGCAAAAATGTGCAAAGAAATAAAAAAAATAAAAAAATTGCATAATAGGTCCCCTTTTACAATGGCAAACAAAGTGCCATTTGCTTGTACAGAGCTGTGAATTATGATGTATGCCATTTAAAAAATTTACAAGCCAGTTTGAGTCCACCTGCGATGTTCCCTGCTGGTCAAACTAACTGAACACACAGAGATACAATTGTTTCTTACGTTGTGTAACTTTCCGCCGACGCAAAATCTAAACCTCGACTAAACAGTGCACAGCACTCAGTGTGTGGGTAGGACCAGAGCCTCGAACACCTGCACTTCATAATAAGCAGCCATCCTGTCGTGGGAAATAGCCAAGAAAATTCAGTTTTATCCACACGAGCCAGGAGGATGAGGAAAGTAATCTCCAGCCTCCAGTTTGAGGACTCTGAAAATGACACTTCTGGGACACAATAGGTGAAACTGGGGACATGAGATGATAATCATTGCAATTACAGCCTCACTTGTTCAGCTGCAGCTCAGCCAAGGATAAAGGAGTAAGCTTCTTTCCTGGGATTCACCACAATGGAGCTAGGTGCAAAAATGAATACAAAATCAAGCCCTGGCAGTATACAAAGAAATCTACTGTGATGGTCGTGTTACAGACAACATTTTTGAGAAACGTGTAAAAATAATAGCTTGTTTTTTCTGTGTTGTTGCCAGTCATTGCTATGGGTGTTGATCATTTAAGCGATTGCCTCCTTTGCTTGACTGACCACAGAATGACGACGCAGACACTTGCTCTTCTCAGAAAGATAAAAATTTCACAACAAGCATACTTGCAAAACCAAGATACATATGTGTGCACATTTATAAGGGTGGCTGTTGTGTCTTAAAATAAATGCATATCTATTCATTCTGCCACAAAACCTCACTTTTCTAAATGTAATCATGCATTTTTGCACAAATGCATACACTGTCATTGTCTCATTTTTGTTTTCTGAGGGGTTTTTTTTTTAGCAGAAATGTAAGTGAAAAATATGATTCCAACATTATTTTTTTTTTTTTTTAACCAACATTAGGTAACAAAGGCCCTCCACGTGGGCTACAAATGTGTTAAGAGACAATGTGAGAACAATGTTACGTGGGCTAAATACAAAAGCAACTGGACTGTTGCTCAGTGGTCCAAAATCTTTTTTTCAGATGAAAAATGTATTTCATTTGGAATTTGAGGTCCCAGGGAAGAGTGGAGAAAGCACAGAAGTCATGCTGCTGGAAGTCCAGTTTGAGGTTTTCACTGTCACGATTCATGCCATGCCTGAAGTACAGAGCAGCTAACCACCAGAAAAACTTTAGGGCACCTCATGCTTCCTACTGCTGACAAGCTTTATGGAGATGCTTATTTCATTCTCCAGGAGGTCATGGATCTTTCCCACACTGCCAACTGTACCAAAAGCTGATTCAGTAACCATGGTGTTACTCTGCTCGACTGGCCAGCAGACTTGCTTGAGTTGAACCCCATAAAAAATTCTTTGGGCTGTCAAGAGGAAGACTAGAGACAGCAGACAACAACAAGGCAGATAACCTGAAGGCTGCTATAAAAGCAATCTGGACTTGCATTACACCTCAGCAGTGCCATAGGCTGAAGCTGTAATTCATACACAAGGAGGCCCAACCAAGAATTAAGCTGCAGAAAACTCAACATACCTTTCAGACACCAATTCACAATATCTTTTTTTTTTATTGAATTATGTATTATTTATATTTTCTGAGACATACATTTTCGAGTTTGAATTTTTTGTCATCACTAAGTTTAAACATTCCACTCTATGTGCAATAAAGTAAACAAAGTATACATTCAACTTTCCAAAACAAGTGACAAAAGATATTGAACTTTAGATGTACTTGTATGTGACCAGAACAGCAGATTTGGGTGACGTTTAACATTGAGAACATCAAGAACTGACACTGAATTGTTCATAATTTGCTTACATAACGCCAACTTAAAATTAAGGCAGCCTTCTTACAAAGACAAATGACCCATATGTTTTCCACATCAAGGACAATCTCCCAGAATTCCTCTGCAATGTGTGCGATTGCCACAATGCAAACCATGTTTCTCACCTTCGGATGCCGAAATATAATTCCTGGGAAATTTGTCACTTTCACGACGAGTCCAACTATAGCATGTGAATTCCCTCAAGGGTGTAACATGTGCTGCAGACGTCCCAATATTCTGAGGTAATTCGAGAATTAACATCAGCTTTTAGTAGGCCACTTAATTAGGAATGAAGCAAAAATGTAGGTTATTGTGAATCGAGCTTTGGCAGTGAACAAGATCTACAATTCAAGTCTTATACAAATGGTATTAATATGACCGTTTTACTTTATTATTAGATATGACATTACAAAAACAAGGATCATTTTGTACAGACTATGTAAGGTTCAACATTATGATCACTAGCAGATGAGTGTTTATTTATCATGACACCCATAGAGTGTAATGGATTAGGAAGGAAATCAAGAAGCAAAAAAGAAATTGGCAAGAAGGCTTCAATTACTTTTATGAAACTAACTGCAGCTTTCATGAGGTGTTTCCACTAATCAATCTCTATCTAAAGTGGTCTCTGAGGACGGAACGGTGGACAGGCATCTGAGTCATTGGCCTGCCAGGTCTCGCTGATGAACGTGGAGAGTGACAGCACAGCCCAACTACTGCAAACGTTAATGCTGGTTCTGATAGAAAAGGGCAAGAATGCACAGTTGTCATTTCTTGTTGCATACGAGGCTACGTAGCTGTCAGGGTATCCATGCTAACATTAGAACAACAACAAGCATGTAAGCATTAGAACTAGATAACAGAGCATTGGATGACGCGGACTGAGGAATAACATTTTCTTTTGTGTCACATGGATGGCATGGATTCCCTTAACAGGTTCTACTAACTTTAAAAAGCCTACTTATGTTTTCAGACTGGTTCTATTTAAATGATTTCTTCATTCCTGTGGGCTATCAAAACAAAATCCAGCTGTGATTGATCAGTTAATTGGTGATTTAGCAGGAGCTAGGTGGGTTGGGTTAGACAAATGAAACATGTACATCGGCCTTTGGTATTTACAGTGTTCGTCAGGTAAGCTTTGTCTTCTATATAGAAAATTGGTTGGCGAGTCAAAACACTTATGTGCAACAATCAAGCAAAAGCAGAAGTGATGTCTAAAGGCACATTCACCGTTTCACAACTCTGCAGCCTACATGCCTCGCATCAAATTGACACATTTGCTTTTCTTTGCTGCCATTAGAAGCAGGGTATTAGCTGCAGCATCCACTATAAGTAGAGCACACAGGCCTATCCTTTACCATGTTGTCCTTCATTCGTTTTTGTTTTTGTCCTCAGTAGCACCGCTGTTTCCTTTTTTGGCATTATTACTATTATTACCATTTTAAGCTATATGATCAAAACGAATAAATACATTTTAAAAAATCAAGTCGTTACATGAATGCACTCAGTTTAACCTTAATACATATCGTGTCCTGGTGGTCACTGGGCGCATAGATTTGCTCCACTAACCCATATTCTGTACAGCTTATGTTGACAATGTACATGAATGACGGCTTAGATGGAATAAATGCTCAATCCTCCGTGACCTGCATGCGTTTCCTAAAGCCTTTTGTAGTTTGAGCGAACCGAGCGGTTTAATAAAAAAGGGAGAGTCGCAGCTCATAGACAGAAAATGGTCGGTGTTTAGGGGTTAAGCCTCACACTGAAAGCAGCTGGGTTTGTCCGCATCTTACCGTAGCTTTATGATGACCTCGTCGCTCACGCTGCAGCGGCTGATGATGTCGGCTCCCGCTTGTTGTTGTTGTACCCGACGCTCCGTCTCCTCTCCTCTCTTCTTCCTCTCCTCGCTCGTCTGGTCTTTGGAGAATAGCGCTGGGCACATGAAGATGTCGAGTCGTCTGACCGGAGCCGAGGAATGCGTTTAGGCTCCCTTAGTGATCATGTTTCCAGTAGATCTCTCAAAGGATGCGTGTCCGCCTGCCAGAGCTGGGCCGAGTTATGGCAGAGCGGAGACTGGAGAGACCCTCCCCCGGGCGCAGAGCAGTATCAGGTGGACGCAGAGCATCCTTCACATTCCTGCATCAGTGGACAATAAAGGGCAAACCAATACAGGAAAAAAAAAAAACTCAATCTGTTTTACTCTCCCCTCTTTTCTGCTGGTAGTTCAATTTTTTTTTTTTTTTATAACAACTGGTATTTTAGTACGACGTTTGTTCAATACAAAGAAAGGTTTCAAGTTGTAACATTCCTGCAGAGACGCTTAGGGGACCGATGTCCGCTTGTTTATGTCATAGGATGCTGGAGGAGTGAACAAGTAGAGCTTCTTAAAAAGACTACAGCTTCACTTTCCAAGTCATCTTTTTATAAAAGTAATACTACTAATAATAAATAAAAGATATATTATTATTATTATTATTATTATTATTATTATTATTATTATTATTATTATTATTATTATAACATTCTGTAATGCTAGATTATTTCAAAAAAGTTATGTAATAATAATGCATCTTTCTATTTTTTGTTTTGTTTTTCTTAAATTATCTGTTTAGTCATTTCCTTTAAAACTACGTTCAAGAACATTAATAGTTATGGTGCCTGATATATATATATATATATATATATATATATATATATATATATATATATATATATTTTTTTTTTTTTTTTTTTTTTTTTTTTTTTTTTCAATCATTTTATTTTTTTTTTTTTTTTTTATAGATGT